TTGTATATTCTGAGAAATATTTTAATGAAAGCATCATTAATTTAAAATATAATTGTTAAAATTATATCGTTATAAAAATTGGAATATAAAACTAAATAACTATAGCTATATATTTTGTGAATTTTTATTTTAGATATTATTTTAAAATCTTATTATATCAAATAAAATATTTCATTATCAAAATTCATATTATATTCATATTTTATTCATAATTTTTGTATAATTACGTTCATGAAATAAATAGGATTATTTACTATTTAAAGTAATATTTTACCTAGCTCTGCTATTTTATATATATGATAATAATTAAAATATTATAAATTTATAAATATTATAATAATAAATAAATATTATCATTATATATATAATTAATATTATTAATTTAATATAATTTAATTAATTTTATATATAATTTAATAATACTTTACAATATTAATAATATAAAATTCTTTAATAATATTAATGATATTATCATGTTCATTCAATTGTTATCATTTCAATATTCATAGAAAATTATAACTTTGATAATAGTTATGGAATAATATAATACAAATGAAAAAGAACATGTTATTTATTACTGTTATTATTATCTAAAACAAAAAAAAAATATTTGAAATTTGATTCATAGATAAATAGCTAGAATATATTAAAAGTTGAAAAACGATCTTAAACCGCCACTGTAAAACAGTCATCGATCATTTGAAAATCACAGGTTGTAGAAGCACATTTCACCGCTGTTATCATTTCATCGGACTGACACGACGTTCGAATTGATTTGAAGCAGCAACAGCCATGTTCGGTGCGTTCTACACGTTTGCACGAATGTGAAAACTCGATGACGGTATTGATCAAAAGCGAAATATTTTTTTGCATGTCGCATGTTCCGCTATAGCACGACACCAATTACCATCCTTTTTACAAGAGTTTATCGACCGACCGTTACTCGAATATCTTATGACTGGATGTTTCGTGTAACGTAGCTTTTTAGTAAAACGCCAACAATGAGAGCACCAGGACAAACGAACTGAGTGACGGGTGAAAAAGCCAGCCATTAAAGGACTCTCTTGAACGAGAACACGCGATTCTGTCGCAAGTCTGGCTATACCAACGATTAATTATCGATTCAAATTTTAGTCCGATTAATCATGCCGCAGCTGCAAAGGCTGTATTTGAATTCCTATAATTTTGTTCAATGAATTTTGGAAATTTGAAAACAATGAAAGGCTGCTTTATTCTGGTTCACGAACGATATTTCGGGAATCAATGAATATTTAAACTAATAACTTGAAATAACTTCAATTTTTTCTTTCGTAATATTCATATAGAATTGCGTATATTTTTGTTAAAAATATCTTTTTTTTCTTTAGTTATAAAAATAAGATTATTTGTATATTTAATATAATTCAAAGATAAATGTTTATTAATAATAATATTGAAAAAAAATCAATATGTGTATCTTTTATTTTGAAGTCAAACATTTATAAGTTAACAAAATTAATTTCAGTAATCAATTAATAAATTATATGTAATAGAATAGTTTCTTTTTAAAATTTTCCTATTATAGAATTGCAACATTTTTTATAATTTCAAAATATTTTTATTCAAAAATAAATGAAAAAGAATGTAACAATTATATATAATTAATAAATTTCAAGTTTTAAGTTAGTAAACGCATCAAATTGATATATTTTTTGTGATACTGATTATTTAAAACAACGCAAAACATTGATATGAAAATGCATTTATCGATCACATGTTTAGAAGAGAATTAAGCTCCAAGATAAAGAACATAAAGAAAATATATGCAATTCATGATAAGAATGAAAAATGATCAATTTCCGTTCTAAAAATTTGTTAATTTGTTTGCAAGTTTTTAATTTACGTACTAAAATAATTCTTGTGGAAAAAATTCCATTAACACATTTGCGTCACTAATAAGTTATCGAATATTGATCACATCAATTCTTTTAGACACATTTTCATTAAAATTCAAATTCCGCTGTGATACACAGTCTAGTGAATAATAATACCTTGCACAAAGAGAATTTACAATTGGACATCTTCATGATGAATAGAACTAGTTAAAATCGATGAAATAAAAACTAACTTCTTTGTCTGAATACTCATATTTAATACGATGATATTTATAACTTGATAGATATTAAATCCAATAACTAATTTCAAAAAAAAAATGAATTATATTTGCAATATAAAACGACATTAAAAGTTCAAATGGAAAATCATGGAAAATAGAAGAGTCGATCGATCAAAATTATATACAATTCTATTATTTTTTTATCACTTATTTTTCATTACTAATGAAATATTATTATTAATTATTAATATTATTAATATTATTAAAAAAATATTTTACTATCTAAATAATAAATTATTCTCAAGAAGAATTATATATTTGAAAAGGAATTATTGTATACTTGAAAAAGAATGATAAATTTAATTTAAAATTTAAATATTGCAAAAATATTGATGATTTTAAGACAGATATAAATAAATGTATTCATAAGTGTTAGAAATAGAATTACAATTATTTTTCTAAAATTATTTATTTTCTTTAAAAAATTTAATTTAACTATTTTTTCATATGTATGTTCTATATTATATATTATATTTTTTATTCTAGTAACAATTTGAATTCTGAAAATTCTGAAAATCAACTCAGAAGACGTTTTTGTGAATATTACAAATTAGGTTGAAAGTTTACATAATAGCAAACTGCATTCAAATTATAGTGAAACAAGAACTACATCAATTTGTGAAAACTTTATTAATGGAGAGGAGAATGAGTTCAAAACTGAACTGAACTACTACAACTATTTGAATGACTAGAATTAGTGGGACTTCGTGAAACTGCAACAAGTAATTGTACATATTACTTGTACAATACTATAATCATATCTTTCTTCAAATTAAAAGATTATTCATTTTTGAAAAATTGTTGAAAATTTATTATAATTGAAAAAAATATATAATAGCCAATCTGAATTCATTTTAAAGATAAAGTCTTTATATTTTTATGTTTGAATTTTGTCAAAAATTCTTTTATATTGAAAAAAAGAATAGAATAGAAATGAAAATGAAATTTTTTTCAATTCTACAAATTCAATTGATTTTAAAATTTCAATTGACCTTAACTTTCTATGAGATGAAACAAGTTTTTAAAGGAAAATCTATTTTTTATAACATTCTCTAAAAATTAATCTATAATTTGATTTGTTATTGTATTATATTTTGATTATGAAAAGTCAGCATTAAAATACAAAATACAAGCCCAAAGCTAATAAAGAAATTTTATTGTCAAACTTATATATGTAATATGAAATATTTTTATATGTATTATAAATATATATTTAATATATTTAATATCGTTAAGCCCAGAGACGAGTATCTTTTTAGTAAAACTGTTGAACAAGAAATTTTATCAATTTGAAAATTTGTTTTTAAATATTTAAAAAAGTTCTCTAATTTATAGATTAATAATATATAAGGCCATTGTTTAAAAAATCATGGATCTTAGTAATTATTTTTGATAATTTCACAAGGAAACCCCGTAGCTAGACGGCCTTTCATTAATAGACATACCCTCTGCACGTCCTCTTTCCAAAACATTCATGAGCCAACTATAAAGAAATTATTCAGTTATCTGAATAATAATTCCACCCTCTTGGATTTTTGATCTTTTGCAGATTGGAAGAGAAGGAAAAAGGCTCAAGTTCTTGTCATAATGTTGTCAGAGTTTTGCCCAGATTGAACGTTATTAGAATATAAATATAGAATATAATTAAAATTGGTAGACTCTCGTGTAATGATTTAGACACACATATAGAAACATATAGCATAGAAAAAACTCGTTCCGCGTAATTAGCATAACTAAAATCTCGTCGTTAGTATTATTTCATATAATAAATTTCAAAATTCAGTAATTTGAATTTTTTTTTATTTTTCCAATTTGGAATAGTCTTTTGACCTAATTAAAAAAATTTTAGTCAGCCAATTCCGAAAAATCTATGGAATCAATTATGAAGACAGTAATAAATTATAATATATTATACAATTAGTATATATAAAATTAAATATGGATTTGAATAAATATATAAGAACAATATCAAAAAATAATAATTAGGCAAGTAACCAAAAGTTAATACTTCTTTTTAAATACAAAGACAAATTAAATCACATATACTAAATATATACATTGAATATATAATTAAATACAATTAAATGCACATTAAGCATACATTGAACATATATTAAAATTGTACATAGACATATGCTGCATAATTTCGATCATGCTTTTACTTATGTCAGGAACTTATTTTCATTTAAAATTCAATAAAATAGCAATGAAAAGTTGTATGACAACTTTTAAAAGAATTATAAAAGGGAGACTTTTTGTTCTACGAGCAAAATATATACTTTCATTTTAAAATGAATTACAAACAAAATTTATCAAAATATTAAAATCACTCTAATGTATAAAATTGTAAAATGTAAAAATAAATCAATTTTATTTGCTGATTTAAAAATATTTAATTCTAAAATATGAAAATAAAAGTTTTATTTTTTAAAAATGAGGCTACATAAAGTACCATGTGATATTTATTTATGAAGTTTTTGATTGAAAATTAACAATTCTTCAATCAAAATTTAGTAATCTTTTTACAGAATAAGTTATAAATAAGTTATAAATCTTATGAAAAACTAATAATAATTAAGGAAATCTCTTATAAGACTTATATTAATTTTTATTTTTTTAAGAATACTAAATCTATTAAATAAAATGAATATAATATATAAATAATTAATTAAATGAAATTATTATTTTTATATATCAACAAAATATTTTGTCTTGCTATCTTGAAACATCGTAAACTATGTTTCAATCTATCTTCGTAACAAAATTATGCAATAGAAATAACCGCATCATTGATGTAACTTACTAAGAACAAAATCCCCTTAACGATGTTTATTACTTTTGGCAGAATGCACAGCGAAGAGCGGAGGATCGGTAGTAGAGCATCATCCATCTTCTTACTGGGAGCAACCCTTTAGTCAGCCTTATTTCGACAATACGACAAAAAGGGAAACCACGACGACCGTCGGCCAAACCGCTTTTCTTCACTGCAGAGTGCGCAATCTTGGTGATCGTGCTGTAAGTTCAAATTTCCTTATTGCTTGACTCTCGGTAATTTAATAAGAATACAAAAGTGTTACACGGTTGAGTAATCAGTTGAATAAAAGTTCCGATATCACGCTCTGTTTTCCACTTTGTTTTTTATTTCATTTTCTTGTTCTTTCTCTTTTATCAATTTTTCTTCAACTTTTCTAGCGATTGAAACTCATTTTACTACTATGAATATATTCTCTCTCTTTTTTTTATTTTACAAAAAATGGAATACTAATCGCAATAAAATGTAAAATAATTTCAAATAATTAATACAATTTTTAAAAATAATTCTTAATCATTTAAATATGTTCTGGAAGTTGGTTCGAAACCATTCTATTAAATCTGTTACACATTATATATGCTGTAAACGTATCATTTTCGTGATTTATTGTATTAACAAAATTCATTGTATTTGTAAGTGATTATGCAATTGCGAAAGTTAATTAATAATTAATATTCAGATAATAATTGTGAATGAATTTATCTTTCAATCTAATTTCATATTTATTTCGGTGCGATCCTTTTCATCGAAATGGTTTTCGATTATTGTAATTTCATATTCTAAATTGATAATAATAATTTCAGTGCTCATCAAAAATAAGTTAAAATAAGTTTCAAATAACATTTTCCTTAATTCTAAAAAGCGATAATAATTAAAACCAAGATGGATTAAAAGATTATATTTTTGCATTGGACAAAATTATTCACCTTGCTAATATTAGATTTATTGCATTAAAAATACGTAAAATGTGCAAAGCAAAGCTTGTATAATCCTATCATATATCTATTTAATATAGGCTACATGGCAATAAATTGAAAAACTGAAAATAGCTAAATTTCTAAAATACAAAAAAATCTAGGCAATTGAAACAGCATCAACTATATCTAATACTGGCATTATTAGTATATCAAAAGAAAAAGAAAAAACCGAAAAATCTTATTCATAATAATATAACATAGTAATATAAAATTATGGATATAAGTATATCAGATCTGAAACATCTAAAAATTCAACATACTATATTACAGAAGCATACAATGATTCAAATCATGCTAGATAACAAAATTTAAATTACTTAAATTTCATATAAGGAACTAAACGTATAAGGAAACTACGTACAAGGAACTAAATGTATAAACAATTAAAAAAAAAAGCAATCATATATATCATCATATATCATGTATATATATATATGTGCATAGTAAAAAAAATTCTTTCATTTTTTATATTTGATTTTATCAATGCTTAGAAGAGCAACTATTATATGTATAATAAATTTGATGATAAAATTATATTATATCATATTATAATCATAGTATTCTAATGCATTCTCGGATGATTGTATATCTGTGATTTTCTATGTTTCTCCAAATTTTATGTACATATTAAGTATCTCTTCCTTAATAATATAGAGAACAATCAAATATTTTAACATTTTACAAAATTTGTTTAAATGGAAAAATGAATAGAACAAAATGATAACACATTATTTATTAAAAAATTATTAAAAAAAATAGATCAACGAATATTTTTATTTGAGAGTGAAAAGATTTTTGGCACATTTCTGTGCACTGAATCTGAATCTGAATCTGAGCATAAAAATTGAATATAACGAAAGATTAGAATAAAAATAAATAGATAAAAAATATCGATTTTTGCGAATTTCAATAATATTTATAGAATATAATTTAAAAAAAGTAATACTATTTTTTCAATATTTCTGTTATCATATATATTCTTCGTTTGTAAAATCAAATTTAATTTATCATTATAAGATTTTTTTCTTGCGATACATCGCTTTGAAATTATTTCATTTTTAATTTTCTACTGATGATAAATTTTTATGAAAATTCTATTTCATTTTTTTCAAGAAGATTAATAAACTGAAAATATAGATTTATGATTTTTCAAACATCAAAGCAAATACTTTTCTAGTTTTTATTCGGATATATTAAAAATGGAATAACTTTAAAGTGATATATCTTGGCAAAGAAAGTCCTGACAATAAATCAAATTTAACTTTGCAAGAAAAGTATTACTGGAGTTGACAGAAATATTGAAAAAAATTATTTTTTTTGATGATTTAATATTATGTCTCGTAAATATAGTCTCAATTCAAAAATCAATATTTTTTATTCATTTATTTTTTAATGTATAGGCAATTTTTATATCTAGATTCAAAAATTTTGTTATTTTTAAATAAAAAAAGACTTGTTAATCTGTTTTTTCAGACATATTATTACTTTATTTATTTTCCACTTAAACAAATAAAATTTATAAAAAAAAATATTAATATTTTTATACTTTTATTATTAAAGCGCTTATACTTTTATTATTAAAAAAAAATAATTACATTTAAAATTTGAATAAATTACATAGATTTTAAGAAACATTAAATGTCATAGGATATGTTATTACTTTGTTTGAAAGTATATCTCTACACATTGAAATAAAGTGCTCGTATATATATCAATGTTAACGTGTAGTTTGTCAGTTTTAGCTTGTATATACCAAAAATAGATAGGCAAAATTTAATAGTTGAAGTTAAAAATAAAGTTACTTCAATAAATTATTTTAATAATTTATTATTATAAACATTAAATAATCGCGAATATATGTGCCAAATAGCCAAGATTATATGAAGAGTGGATTATAATATACAGTTATAATACGAATAAATGTTATTCAAGTATTTTAGTAAGTAATTAATTAAAGTAATTAAAATAACTTTATTCGAAATTTTTTTTAATTAATTTTTTTTTCAACCGGTTAATATTCAACTTTGAACAGTATTAATGTTGATAGTTGATTTTTCTTCAAGTCAATTATGTTAATATCTGGTCTATACATTCAGACATAATGAATAATTCTATAATAAAATATATATAAAATTGCTAAGTAATTATAATGCTGCTATCGTTTCGAAATGCAATGATTTGTAGATAAATGTCGACAATCATGTGAATTATGATACTTATAATAAGATAAATTAATTGCAATACTTTTTGGAGTCTATGTTGAGAAGTTGGCCTAATTGCTCCAAATAGATGTGATATAATAGCATATAAAATGGAATATATAGTAGAATTCATTTTTTCATTTCATTTTTTTCATATATATAGAAAATCTATATAAAATAAAAAATAAATAAATGTTGATTATTCATAAAAACAAGAGCTCATAATATAAAAATAAAATTCATAAGGAAAAAAATTAAACAAAAGATAAAAATTTAGAAGTATAGAAGTAAACATATGAGAGTTGGAGGGAAAATTAAAAATTCATATATATTTTTTAAAGATTGAATATAAATTTCTTTTTTCAATAAAATAATTAAATCGAAAAATCACATTATTTGTTAAAAAATAAAATATTAATAAATACAGAAATGTTAAAAAAGAAACTTTGGAAAAAATAAAAAATAATTTCAACAAATTTTAAAACAAATTATATTATTTATTATAAAATAAAGATTTTGAAAATATGTTATGATGATTAAATTTATGTAAAGATATGTATGATTATTTTTGTAAAAAAGAAAATAGGATAATAAAATGGAATTATTATTGTTTTTTTAATTATAGGATCATTAAAAAATTAAAAAAAATTTATTTATATTGCGTTAGTTCCAATCTATTCCTGGAGCTATGGAATATAATAATATAATAATAAAAATAATTATTACGAAATTTGCTGTGACAAGTTCGATTAGCAAGACGACCAAAGGCAAAGTCGCCATATGCCAATGACGGTCTACACTAAAGTTCGAAGTTACAAGTTCGGATTAGCAAAATGATCAAAAGCAAAGACCATATGTCAATGATGGTCTATGTTATGACTAAGGTTCGAAGTTACAAGTTTGGAAAAAACTTCTTCTAAGTTCAAAGAGTTCTGAAAGTTCTTGTTCTAATGCTTTTTTGTAGTTCTGTTAATTCTTGTTGTTTCTAGTGCTTTTGTAGTTCTGGTGCTTTGAATTTCTTGAAGTTCTCGTAAGTTTTAAAGGTTCTCTCCAAGACTGGTATCCTCTGAAGCCCCCTCCATGTTCATCTCATGAGCTTGTGGATCTTCAGTGGGATACACAAATGTCCAATGATACTGAACCAGCTTTCTGATTAAGTGACATCCCCAATCTAAAGAAAGCTCCCTAGAATGAATTCGAGGGGCCAAGCCATTCACAGAAGTTGTTTCATATGTGTTTTCAGTAATTTTTTTCAGGATGATGCTGATTGCCATTAAGATTGGCATGGCTGAAAGTGTCGTCTCAAATCCCAAGATCATTGACCACTCCAGTCACGCCGAATTGTTTCTAAATGTACGAAGCATATAGTTATCAAAATTTTCTCTCAAAAATGGCATTGTTCTTGCAGCATTATCCTGAGTCATGTTTGTTCATGTCTGGACATCATCTGTTCAATGTCTGAACATATTATTTCATTTTCTATTCTTTATTTTGAAACTAAAAGCTAAAACTAAAAAAAAATTTATTTCATTAAATTCTTTTTAAAATGAAGTTTAAAATATTTAAGAAAGTTTTAAATACAATAACTTTTTTTTCTTCCCCATAAGAATTAAAAAAAAAAATATATATATATATAGAAGAGATTAGATAAAAATTAACTTTGAAATACTTAAAAATATCTAATAAATAATAAATAAATAGAATAATAGTATTTCTTTATTGAAAGAATGAAATTTTTGTAATATTTTTTTTTTGAAAATGCTTTATTTTTAGAAAATAAAATATTTTGATAATGTATTTATAATGTATTTATTTATGCATTTCTGTTATTTTAACTATTACTATTAACTATTCTGTTACTATTAATTATTACTTTTCCTCTTTTATTTTTCAAATATTTAAATTATTATATAATTATATAAATAATATAATCAATTCTATAATATTTGAAACTTATTTTATTAATAAATATAAGAAAATATGCTTAAAACCAATTGGTCGGTATATAATTTATATAAATATAAA